TTTAAAGAAACTTTTAACTTCAAGGTCATGAGAGTTTTGCTTTTCATTTTCCTCTATTTACCTTATGGATTCAGGTTTGATATCAATGTCCTTAATCCATCTTGATTTGACTTTTATGCATGGCATTAGGAAGAGGTCTGAGTTTAATTTTTGCACGTAGCTGACCAGTTTTCCCAGTACCAATTGTTGAAGAGGCTTCCTTGTTCTACTTCATATTTTTTCTTCTTTATCGAAGATTAACTGATCATGCATTTGAGGGTCTGTCTCAGGATGTTCAACTCCATTTGGTTGATCTGATGGTCTGTTTTTATTTCAATATCATGCTGTTTTAATTACTGCTTTGTAGTACAGTTCGGGGGAACCTCTCTAGTCCAGATGCTGGGAGGCACCTTGGCCGAGGGGGGCGGGGGGCGGTGTTCGTGGAATTCCCTGGGTCTGTTTTCTAGGGACGTCGCCCCCAGTTAGAAACCTTCAGCTGTCTCTGCTGTTTCCAAGGTTGACTCTAAGCTGACCTCTTGGGTCCCACACAACCTCATTGATAGGATTCTCTGAGGATGAGCACGGGGGCACCGCTGGGTGCCACCATGTTGGCTGTAGTACAGTTCTAAGTTGGGGAAAAGTAATGCCTCCCATTTCCTTTTCCCCAATAGTTTTAGCTATTTGGGGAAATAGAAAGTGCTCCATACCTTTTGATTGAGGAGCTCAGAATTTTCAAAATTAGGTTTACTTATTTTCAGTTCATCTGTTGTTTTCTAGTTGTTATGTAGTCAAATGTCTATCACCTTCCTTCTACCCCCATGGGTTTCTGTATGCCTTTTCATATAGAGATTTTCCCTGGTTATTGACTCCATTTCTTTATTTTTTAAATTAGATGTCTTTGTTTTATATTTTTGTATTATGGTTACTGTGGTATTTTTATAGAAAATTGACATAATCATTTTTTGTGTGTGTTCATATTGACTCATGGTCATTTGACTCTGCCATATATGTTCTCCCTCTTTTATAGTTTGATATTGTCTTGTTGATTTTCTCTGCTATTGTATTGCAATTTATCACCAAGGTTTTTGTTCTTTTGTTTCATAAAGAAGAATTCTTGTACAAGTGTGATGGGGTCAAAGAGATTGTTCAGTTAGCTGAGAATTTTTTTTTTTGCTTTTGGGGTCACACCCAGCGATGCTCAGGGGTTATTCCTGGCTCTGCACTCAGGAATTACTCCTGGAGGTGCTTGGGGGACCATATGGGATGCCGGGGATTGAATCCAGGTCGGCCGCGTGCAAGGCAAACGCCCTACCTGCTATGCTATAAGCTCCGGCCCCTGAGATTCTTTTTTTTTTGGCATGCATCTTTCATCTCTGTAACCACAAGGACCCCAAGCACTGAAGTAAATTTCGAGCACAGAGATGGGAGTAGCTTTGAGCATTGATTGGAGTGGCCTCAAAATAAATTAATAAAAACACCAAACAAAACAGACAATAGGTCTGGTGGTGGTAAATGCTATTAATTTTTTTTCTTTTTGGGTCACACCTGGCAATGCACAAGGGTTACTCCTGACTCTGCACTCAGGAATTACTCCTGGCAGTGCTCAGGGGACCATATTGGATGCTGGGAATAAAACCTGGATCGCTGTGTGCAAGGCAAACTCCCTACCCACTGTGCTATTGCTCCAGCCTCAATGCTATTAGCTTTTGTATGTCTGAAAAAGCCTTTATTTATCCATCATATTTGAATGACAGGTTTTTTGGGGGGAAAGTATGCTAGCAGTTTTTATCATGTAGCAATGTGAATGTGTTATTTCACTCCCTTCTAGCCTATAAGGTTTCTGCTACCAAGTCTGATGAAAGCCTGATAGCGCACTCTCTCTTTCCCTCTCTCCCTCTCTCCTCTCTCTTAAAGTTTGTGGCGTAGGAACACTTATTTATTTATTTTATTTTATTATTATGGTTTTCTTTTGGGGTCACACTGGTGATGGTCAGGGGTTACTCCTGGCTCTACACTCAGGAATTAATCCTGACAGAGCTTGGGGGACCATATGGGATGCTGGGAATTGACCCTTATGCAAGGCAAACACCCTACCCGCTGTACTATCATTCCAACCCTGAGAATGAGATTTCTTTTACATTACTTTTTTTGTTTGCTTTTCTGGCCACACCCAGTGGTATTCAGGACTTACTCCTGGCAATGTGCTCAGAGATCACACCTGGTTATGATCAGGGGACTATATAGTATCAAACCTGGGTTGGCTGTGACCAAGGCAAATACTTACTGGCTTATCTTCTCTCTGACTCCAACATCACTCCTCCCTTTATCAGTAGCCTTCAGTATTTTCACTTCATAATTTAACATTATGTATCTTGTGATAATTTATTTTGGATTTGAAAATTTGACATCAGTGGTTAGTTCTTTCCTTAGGTTTGAGAAGTTTTTGGCCATTACTTACTTGAATATGGTCTCATATTTTCTCTCTTCTCTCTTACCCCATACTTCTAACATTTATTCTTTCAATGAAATCTGATAATGGGGCCACACCCAAGATATATATATATATATATATACATGTGCTCAGGCGCTCTCTGTTTGAAATAACAAACCTAAATATATCCATGTATCTATTTATATGCCAGGGAACCAAAGTTTCCTAGTTTATTCAGTGGAAAAACATTCAAATGGATTTTGTGTTTTCCCCTCTTCCCCCCTTTTATTGTTGTCATTATTGCAGTGTGCAGGGACCATAGTATTGGTTGTGACACTTGCATATTTGGTTGCGGTACTTGTACATTTGTAGTGTGTCAAGGGTTGCACATTTGTATGTAAACCTGGGGCCACAGCTCAGTGATATGGAATGAGAGCTAACTTGTGGCTTTGTACCTGGAAGGCAGGTTCTTTACCAATGAACACCTTTCTGGAATGTGTTCCAGAAAATTAAAAAAAAAATTAAAAATCCAATTTCTGATGAAAGACTCTCTGTGCTTTTATAGTTTTTAATTTTAAAAAAATAGTCATCATGATTGCAATTTTACAAAACTGTCAATAATAGGGTTTCACGAACACAATATTCCAACATCCCACTCTCACCAGTCTGTTAGCCTCTGTTATTCTCTCACGCACACCCCCTGTACCCCCCATCTCAATACCTCCCTACCCAGGCTGTCCATATCTCTCCCATGGTAAGCACAGTTCTACAGATCAGTTCTTAGATTTTGTTGCTTTTGGCCTTTTGTTATTCCCCAACTATGCTTCTTTATACCTCACATATGAGAGCTATTACTCTGCATCTGTTTTTCTTCTTCTAACTGACTTCATTCAGCATGAAATTACATTCACATAGTGGAAAACTGCATGATTTTGTCTTATGGCTGAGTAGTATTCCATTCTATATAACATAGTTTCTTTATCAAGTTATCTGTTCTTGGACACTGCACTGTTTCCAGATTTTAATTTTAGTGAATAGGGGCTGGAGCGATAGTACAAAGGGTAGGGCATTTGCCTTGCATGCAGCCGACCCGGTTTGATTCTCAGCATCCCATATGATCCCCTGAGCACCGCCAGGAGTAATTCATGAGTGCAAAGCCAGGAGTAACCTCTGTGCACTGCCGGGTGTGACTCAAAAAGTTAAAAAAAATTTATTTTAAATTTCTTTTTACAACTAAATGGCTAATGAAATTATATAAAAAATACTTCAGTTAAAGAAAATATGTGAAAATTGTTATATCGCATGATGGAGTCATTAAGTCATTGGCTGATGGTTTACACTTTTTGTCACTAGCTGAGCCTTCTGTGTTAATGTTTTTGTTAATCCAGCTTAGTTGGTGTCTATGCTACTTTCCCATCGGATTTGGTGTGCTCTTACTGGGATGTCAATATTGTGAAATTTGAAGGTGTCATGGGGCTATGTCCATGGTTGTGTGCTCTAAAAACTCCAGGATATATAGACCTGGGACAATGAGTTTACATGGAGGCAGCTGTGGGATGTGAGTGTAGCTTCTGGGATTTCCAGGAGCATGGGGGGTAAGGGGAGGCCCCACTTCATGTTTTCATCCTGGAGTTTTTGTCCGTTTGGCATCTCTGCAGACATTAGTTGTGAAGCAGTGAAGTTGAACCATTGGCATGGTGGCAGCTGTGTGTTGTGGGTGTGGTTGCCAGGGTTTTGGCAGCGTGGGGACTTGGTCTACTCATCTTCCAAGGGTGATCCAGAATTTTAGCTGGAAGACTGGTATACCTGTGAATTTTAGCAGCTTGGCTTGCATCTTCTCCAAGATTAGTCATGGATCTGGGTAGCTGGGCTGATAAATTTACATGGTGGTAGCTATGGGATATGAATGTGATTTCTGGGGCTTCTGGAAGTACGAGGGCAAGAGGTTATTACTTTTATGGAATATTACTTTACTCTGCCCAGAAAGATCAGGCCAGTCACATGTTGAATGCTTTATGTTGTGGTGTGAATATCTTCACTAGTTAGTGCCCTATCCAACTCTCTGCCACAGTCACCTACCCTTAGATGTACAGATATATGTGTCTCTAAGACAAACCTGGTTATCTTAGGCTGATGAAATTTTATCTATGATATGTAGTCGATTTCTGATTATAGATTAGCAGAAAGTTTTGCCCACTAGTGCTCATTCTGCCATTTTAGAAATCTCTTATATCCACATCTTCTTTAATAAGCTATCAAATGAACAGCTTTGGGTTATTTACATAGTGTAACTATTGTAAATAGCAAAGGAAATGATCTGCTGATGAACTATGACTCTGGCCTCAAATTTATACATTTTCAAGTTACCTTTGAGTCTCTTGTCATTCTTACATACTTCTTACTCCAAAACTTAAAAAAAAATCCTCATTTTCTGCATTGTTGAATCTTTTTTTCTTTGAGAATTGGTGAATCTATGTGAACTTTTCCTTTTTTTCCCCCTGGGGTGGGCAAACTTACATGACCTATAGAATGATACATGTCAGAGTTTTCTCATGACTCTGTGATGATCTCTTCTTACCTCTCTCTTCAGGTTGGTGGTGGGAGCCCCCCAAGAGATAACTGCTGCCGACCAAACAGGTCGCCTCTACCAGTGTGACTATAGCACGGGCAAATGTGATCCAATTCTCTTTCAGGGTGAGTAGCTGTCTGAGCCGCCCTCAGCCCCCTAACCTCTCCTATCCCAGACTCAGGACCTATATTTGATCTTCGCTTAGACCTAATTTGCTAGACTTTCCCTTTGTCCTGGAGGTTGGAAGTATGGGGCCAAGGTCAAGCTCTCTGGTTCTCACTGTGTCCAGAGTCTACCCCAGGTGCCCTGAGATACCTTCTTCATGTTCCTTTTCCATGACCTAAGTGTCCTCTTGACTTATTGAACTTTGTCTCTCAAGGTTAGGGGACCTCTTCCTAGCTCTTACATAGCCTCTTTAATCCTTCTGTGCATGGCCTTGTATCTTTCTCTTTAGTGCCCCCAGAGGCTGTGAACATGTCCTTGGGTCTGTCCCTGGCGGCTTCTACCAACCCTTCTCAGCTGCTGGTGAGTTTTCTTTGTACTAGTTTTTCTGGTCTGGGTAGTGGGTACAGATGGTGAAAACAGGCTGAATACCCACCATTTGCATCCTGTCTCTCAGGCCTGTGGCCCCACTGTACACCAAGTTTGCAAGGAGAACACCTATGTGAATGGCTTCTGCTTTCTGTTTGGAGCCACTTTTTCAAAGAATCCTCAGAGATTCCCACAGGTTCTAAGAGGTAGGTTGACTTTTTACTTTTGGTGTTGGGCCATGGTGCTCAGGACTTTACTCCTGCTTCTGTACTCAGGCGTCGCTCCTGGTGGGACTCAGGAGATCATATGGGGGGCTGGAGCGATAGCATAGCAAGTAGGTTATTTGCCTTGCATAAGGTTGACACAGGTTCGATTCCTAGCATGCCATATGGTCCCCCACGCTCTGCCAGGAGTAATTCCTGTGTGCATGTGTAACGCTGAGTGTGACCCAAAAAGAAAAAAAAAAGGAGATCATATGGGGTGCCGGGGATCAAACCCAGGTTGGTCACATGCAGGTGGGTTGTGAGTAGGCAAGCACCTTACCCGCTCTACTATCACTCTAGCCTTGAGGTAGGTTCTCTTCTGTCTTCTCTATGCTTTGACAAAAGAGAAATTGGATGATGGGGTAGGGTATTTCTGGGGACTAAGAATAAAGATGTGATAGGGCACAAGGCAATTCTGAGGGAAGGTTCAAAAACCCAGGGTGAAGAGCTGCAGAGCTGTTCACCCTCAGGTTGAAAAGATGAGGAGAGGGAGAAGTCAAAAGACTCCAGGAGGGAGAGGTGTATGGCACAGACTCCTCAAGAGGAGTTGAGGACTTATTTGGCCTCAAACAACTTCACAGGAGGGAGCTGAAGGGAGGATAACCTAATCTCAGTCTCCTCCCTTCCTCCTCTCTCCCATTGGGCTGCTAATTGGTTGAACAAATTCAACTTGAAGTCAGAGGACAGAGGGAAGACATATACCCGACCTTTATATGTGCTATTATTTTTTTGTTGTGATTTAATCTCCCTTAGTGTTTCTGAAAAATTGTTCTCCTTTCTTCGTGATTAAGCTCTAAACTTTCCTTGACTCACTGGGTAGAATGAACCCCATTTACTCATCCCATATTCTTATTTACCTTGCGATTTTTAATTTATTTACTTATTCAATTTAAATTTAGTCCTGTGAAATTATAAAGTTATTCATGATTGGGTTTCAGGCATAGTGTTTCAACACATATCCCTTTACCTAATCTCATTGCTCAACAGAGAGTTGATATGCAAAAAGTGAATCTGGGGTTTCTAATTTTTTTCTCTTTGCCTAGAGTGCCCTCAACAGGAGAGTGACATAGCCTTCCTGATTGATGGCTCTGGTAGCATCAGAAAAAACGATTTTCAGAAGATGAAGGATTTTGTCTCAACTGTGATGGTTCAACTTAAAAAGTCCAATACCTTGGTGAGGATCAATGGTCAAGACAGGGACATAAGGTTGGCAAATGCATGACAAGCAGGCCACCGCTTTCTCCTCCTACTTCATTTTAAGATATTGCTAAATTGGTTTTCTTTCATAATCCTCTTTCCGGCTCTGTCAGTCTTCTCTAAAGAATAGAGCTCTGACTGATAGATGAACCTACATGCTCTCTCAGTTGAGAGGATAATGAGGGAAGTGGGAGCTGATGGGAGAGCTCTATCCTGGTGAATCAGCAGGACTGGGGGGCAGTGCAGAATATTGAAACTGGAGTATGCTAAGAATCAAGTAGGGCTTATTGAGAAAAAGTTAAGGGGGAGAACAGGTCCCATTCCTAGAGTAATGTTGGTGTCCTATTTCTAGTTCTCTTTGATGCAGTATTCTGACCACTTCCGGACTCATTTCAACTTTGAACGATTCAAGAATTACCCTAATCCCATATCACTGGTGAACCCAATAGAACAACTACAAGGAACGACACACACAGCCACAGGAATCCGCAGAGTGGTGTAAGCTCTTTATTATTATTTTTTTGCTTAGGATGGAAGGTGGAGGTGTTATATTTCCTCTGGATTTTGAATAAGGACAATTGTTAAGATGGGTGGGGCCAAAGATGTTTCCAGGGGAGGGAATAGCTTGAATGAAAGTGTGGAAGAGGAAATATGTGTGTATGTTCTTGAACAGAGAAATCATAGGTAAAGGGGGAAAGGGAGGGAAGGAGGCTGTAGGAAAGAAAGGAATATAAAAACTTAAGATCAGGCCTGTGGTAGCACTGTAGCACTGTTCTCCCATTGTTCATTGATTTGCTCAAGTGGGCACCAGTAACGTCTCCATTTGTGAGACTTGTTGTTACTGTTTTTGGCATATCGAATACATCACGGGTAGCTTTTCAGGCTTTGTCGTGCAGGTGGGATACTCTCGGTAGCTTGCTAGGCTCTCCGAGAGGGATGGAGTAATCAAACCCAAGTCGGCCATATGCAAGGCAAACGCCCTAAGTGCTGTGCTAGCAACGGAAAAGCCACTGGTGATCCACTGAAGATTTTAAGCACTAAGGAGACTTCACTTCTTGTTTTAGGAAATTTCCTCTGATATTTCTCTCTTTTATGGTGAGGACAGCCATTGCATTAAATAGGAGAGATTTGATGAACACTCATTTAAAAATATTTTTTATTTTAAACTTAAAAGCTATAATAATTAGTTGAAAAAAAATCCCAACTTGGACTGGAGCAGTAGCACAGCGGATAGGGTGTTTGCCTTGCACACGGCTGACCAGGGTTTGATTTCCAGCACCCCATGTGGTCCCCTGAGCACCGATAGGAGTAATTCCTGAGTGTAAAGCCAGGAGTAACCTCTGAGCATTGCCAGGTGTGACCCAAAAAGCTAAAAAAAATTCCAACTTGTCATAAGGCAATAAAGTCTTATTTCTCTCCACTGTTCTCCCATCTCCTGCTAACTTTGTAGGTTTTAGGGCAGCTCAGGCTATTTCCAAACAGTAGTATTTGTGTTTGACTGCTGATGTTTCTGCCCTTGTGTCAATTTTTGCTCTCAGTTTACATTTGATTTTGTTCCTCCTTTTCCATGGACAGAAGAGAACTATTTCAAAGCAGCAGTGGAGCCCGGGAGAATGCTCTTAAGATCTTAATTGTCATCACAGATGGAGAAAAATATCAAGATCCCTTGGACTATAAGGATGTCATTCCTGAGGCAGACAGTAGGAAAATCATACGCTATGTCATTGGGGTAGGAAATGTTACTTTTTGGCTTGGTGCTTCTGTGGAGAATTTCTGCTTGCATCCAATATATATTCTATATGCAAATGTTAATATAATCAAGGTGGGGCAAAGGTCACTGGTAGCCCATATGCTGAATTGGTTTCCTATTAACATATACCGTTGAATAACAAACTATCGCAAAATAAATGGTGTAAAAATAAATGAGTCTATAGTTTAGTTGTGCAATATTTTTGCTCCCAGCTGGGCTCAATCCTGCATTTGTAATCAGCTGCTGTTGGGTTGGCCCCTGTGCTGATTCTGGCTGGGTTCACTTTATTTTTAAAGGTTCTCAGTTATGTCTGCCTGCTGGACTGGAATGGCAGGAACAACTGGGATGACTGGACTCTTCTACTCTCTGTGACTCATCCTTGAGTGAGCCAGACTTGTTCTCATAGTTAAGATAGAGGAATAAAAGAAGAAAGAAAAATGTTCCAAGAAATATCCCAACCTTTCTTTATATTACATTTGAAAGCATCATGGACCAAAACAAGACCAATGGCTGAATCCAGTTACTATGAGAGAAAGATTACTCAGAAAGATTAGAAGGTCTCACAAGGGTGTTTTTGTTGTTGTTGTTAAATATTACTTACTTGTTAAATATAACTTACGTGTTAAATATAATTTTATATTTATTTCCTGAAGAATTTTCTCTGATGGATGAGACTGCTATCCATAATTTGGTCTCTCTTCCTTGGCAATAGGTTGGCGATGCTTTCAAAAAAGATAAGCACCGTGAAGAGCTTAATACTATCGCCTCCAAGCCAGCTCGTGACCATGTGTTTCAGGTGAACAACTTTGAGGCTCTGAAGACTATTCAGAACCAGCTTCAGGAAAAAATCTTTGCAATTGAGGGTGAGCTTGGGTCCTGCATTTTGAGAGCATCTTCAGAAGCAGCCACTTGCCTCAAAACATCTATTTTCTCCTAGATACTAGGCTGTCCTGACTTTTACATCCTCAAGCTCCTACTAAGTTATTCCTTTGAAATGGAAGGCTCTAGATTTTTCCCCTCTAGTTTTTTGTGTTTTTGTATGGTTTGAAAATTGGGGAAATGGGAGCTAAATTTCACAGTGCCTCCCCCTCAAACTTGGACGTATTGCTGACATTTTTGTCTGATCCCTGCTGTACCCCTAGTGTTTAGTATAGTGCCTAGTATATAGTTGATGCTTATTTTAATGTTTGCCAAATAAAACAATTTAAAAACAGGGGGAGGCTTTATATACAATCTGTGTTTTTGGCTTCTCTTGAAAAATTGGATGATTATATACTTTAGGATCACATTCCCACTTGGGAAAAAAAAAGATTGTTGAACCATCATCTCTTGAAAAGGGACATGTATGTTTGGGCCTGCAATAAGACTCACTGGTAAAACTCATGCCTTGTATATGTGAAGCTCCAATCACTGGTTCTCAGGTCAAGATAGGAAAGAAAAAAGCAGAAATGTGTGGGATGTGGGACCTCAAATGATTTAGTGACAAAGTTGCCTGTCTTGTGACCCCAAAGGCCAGTAAAGTCACAAATTCAATGCCTGGCACTGCCTCACATGCCCAAGTGTCATCCAGTGGTTTTGTTGGTTGGGAATCCCTCACGCCATATTTCTGGTGCACCACGACCAAGCTCAAGTGAACATTGGAACAAAGTGTGTGACCCTGAAGATCACTGCTACCAAAATTATGTGAGCACCACAATTAACAGGTGTGACTTCTGCCATGTGTGCAAACATGGCAACCAAGTGTGTCTGACCTTTGGTTATTGCAACAACAGCAAAGATAAAGGAAGGGAAATTGGTAAAGAGAAATAGTCTGGACGTGGCTCTGTGATGGAGCTCTTATCTTGGATGCACTGTCCTAGGTTTGATCCCCACAATGCTAATTAATAAATAAAAGGGATATGTGATTTCTAGTCTCTAGTTCAACATAGTTTCTCTCTGAACCTGTTTTAGTCTGGCCTTTGAGTCCCAGTTCCCAGTCTCTTTCTTCTGCTTCCTTTAATGTAAAATATTTCTCACTCCACAGGCACTCAGACAGGAACGACCAGCTCCTTTGAGTTTGAGATGTCCCAGGAAGGCTTCAGTGCTGCCATCACCTCTGTAAGTGGGCCTTCATTAAAATCGGGAGGGAGGAGAAGAAAGAAGGGGACCAAGAGTTTGGGAGCTTTTCTCTGCAATGATTGGGGTGAAGGGAACTTCTTAAGGGGTATCCATGGTTCTTTCTTTCTTGTCAATCCTGGTATTAAAAAAAATAGAGACATAACGAACACATCATATGAGCTTCAGGTATGCAGCATAATATTTGATATATGCATATATTGTTAATTGTCACTACAGTAAGTCTAGCTTACATCCATCACAAAAGGGTTTTTTTCAAATCTGTGATGAGAACTTTAAAATTTTTTAAAATTTATTTTTATAATTTATTATACTTTAGCAGTAGGGCGTTTGCCTTGCACGCAGCCAACATGGCCGACCCGAGTTCGATTCCTCCGCCCCTCTCTGAGAGCTACCGAGAGTATCTTGCCCGCACGGCAGAGGCTGGCAAGCTACCCGTGATGTATTCGATATGCCAAAAACAGTAAAAACAAAGTCTCCAATGGAGATGTTACTGGGCCCGCTCGAGAAAATCGATGAACAATAGGAGGACAGTGATTAATTAAATAGTGATTAATACTTTAGGAAGTTACAATAGTGTTAAAGTTTATGAGTTAGATATAGAAACTCACTACTCTCCACCACCACCAAAGTGCCCCTGACCCTCCAACACTGTCCCCCTGCCTCTTCTAGTTTGATCTCTTCCCCCTCCTCTCCCTTTCTGCAATATTTGATAAGTGGTTCTGTATTCCAGTGCGGGGGGTTGTCATTGTTCAGTACTGTGTTCTCTTATTTTAACTCTATTCCACAGAGGAATGAGGGTACCTGATATTTGCCTTTCTCCCCCCTGGCTTCTTTTTATCTAACTTGATATCCTTTAATTCCATTTACATTGCAGAAAACTGCATGATTTTAAATTTTCTTATACCTACACAGTATTCTATTCACGATCACAATCACGATCATCCTGTTGTTCGTCGATTGCCTCAAGCAGGCCCCAGTAACGTCTCCTTCATCCTAGCCCTGAGATTTTTTAAAAAGTGCCATATTCAAGGCTCTTTCAGGGTGAGGAGAATGAGACCCATCATTGTTACTGGTATTTGGTATATTGGGTATGCCATGGGGAGTTTGCCAGATTCTGCCGTGTGGGCAGGTTACATTCAGTAGCCTGCCAGTTTGTCCATAGTATTACATTATGTATATATATTATCTATCTATCTATCTATCTATCTATCTATCTATCTATCTAATCTACCTCACAATTTATTTTTTTTTAATTTTATTGAGCCTGGAGTCCAAGGTCACAGAGTTCCGCTTACCTGGTTCTGTGGGGCTTCACTTGTGCGTGAGTCTTGGCCCAAGTGTCCGGAAAGTGTCCTGGAGCATGGTGGTGGCTGGATAGTGGAGGTAGTGAAGGTCGTGGAGGTCTGCCATGAGGTATTTATCTGGTACTGGTAGGGTGTATCTTCTGTGTGTAATCCCTGGGTTGCCGGAGATTGGTGGAGGCAACCACCAGGGCAGGGTGGAGAGGGGTTCTGGTTTTAATTCCTTGATCTCCGGAGATTGGTGGGAGCAGGCAGAGGATCTCTGTTCCCAGGTCCCGTTGAGCCTGGAGTCCAAGGTCACAGAGTTCCGCTTACCTGGTTCTGTGGGGCTCCATTCGTGCGTGAATCTCAGCCCGTGCGTCCGGAAAGTGTCCTGGAGCTTGGCGGCGGCTGGGTAGTGGAGGTGGTGGAGGTAAGTGGAACCAGGTAAGTGAAACTCTGTGACCTTGGACTCCATGCTCAGTGGGACACAGGAACAGAGATTCTCTGCTGCTCCCACTAATCTCCAGAGACCAAGGAAATAAAACCAGAAGCCCCACCCTACCCTGCCCTGTCTGCTTCCACCAACAACCAGTGACCCATGGATTACACACCGAAGACCCACCCTACTGGGACCAGATAAATACCTCATCAGCAGACCTCCACTACCTGCACTACCTCCACTACCCAGCTGCGGTACTGCTCCAGGACACTTTCCGGACCATGCAGCCGCAAAGCAGCCGTGCAACAAATCATAAGACACTTAATACCCATCTTCTAAGATTACTGCACCATATTGGATAGGGTTCAAATATGATTTGAACCATGGGAACACCTACAAGGGCAATTAGAGGCCGCCCTAAAAGCCTCTATCCCTTTCGGAGAGCCTGACAAGCTACCAAGAATATCCTGCCGCACAGCAGAGCCTGGAAAACCATCCATGGTGTATTCTAAATGCCAAAACCAGTAAATACAATGGGTCTCATTCTCCTGACCCTGAAAGAGCCACCAATACAGCAGTGTTAAGAAGGATGAGGAAGGAGAGGCTGATAAAATCTCAAGGCTGAACTAGGCTGCCAAAACGGACAAAAATGACTGTCTGTACTTTCAATGAACGTACGCTGGCATTGGATGCATCCATCGAGGACCTGATGGTACAAGCACGAAAGATCAAGTATGACATCATTGGTCTGACCGAGACGAGAAGGCATCAATCACATCATGCTGTTTTCGACACTGGAGAACAACTGTTCCTTGGAACATGTGACAAAAGAGGAATCAGTGGTGTTGGTGTCCTTGTCAACACGAATTTGGCCATGAGCATTGATTCATTCGAATGCCTAACACCCGAATTGGATGATTACACTTGAATAGATGTGGCTTAATGCCAGTAGTTTCCAACTTCGTTGTCTACACACAACATCCAATTACGATGAAGGAGAAATTGAGAAGTTCTACATGGAGCTGGAGAAGTTCTATAAAGAAGACCACACCTTCTACAAGATCACTGTCGGTGATTTTAATGCCAAGATAGGACCGAGAAGATCAGCCAAAGAACTGCACATTGAACACATGGTCTAGAATGGAATAAACAGGGTGAGAGACTATCTGAGTTCATCATGTCGACCAACCATGGTAACTCACAGTTCCAGAAGGCCGAATTTAAACGTTGGACATGGGAGTCTCCCGGTGGATGGTTTCACAACAAAATTGACCACATCATATTATAATCGACGGTCTTGCCTGACCATTGTCGCTGTTGTCCCAAAATTCCAAATGAGATCAGACCGCCGTCTCCTTTATGCAAAATTCTACTTCATGGAGTGGGGAGAAAGGGCTGCAAAGTTTAATAAGAGAACTCCCATAATGACCACCAACTGGGACCTCTTTGGCACTATTGTGGCAACATGGGAAGATGCTGTCCTTGACAACATTGATGAAGAATATGATGGACTGGTTCAGCACTTCCATGATTGTGTGAGGAACACCGAGAGAGAGAGATAGCCACAAAAAAAGCCTGTCTTCAAAAACTCTTGAGCTCATTCATCAACGTGGCTTGGCGCAAGCCTCAGGCAACTGCAAGCGAACGTCAGAGCTCCCAAAGCAGTGTAGAGAAGTGATCAAGGAAGACCTCAAAGAGAGAAGAGCAGCAGTGCTGGCAGATGCAGCAGAAGCCGGGAGAAGCATTCACAATGCCCGCCTGTCCTTCGCCAACTACAAGATCAAGATGACTGCCCTTTTATACCACAAAAAGAAAGAATACACATTCTTCTCCAGCACGCATGGAACATTTTCCAAAATAGACCATGTGCTAGGACACAAAACATACCTCAACAGAATCAGGAAGATAGAAATAGTATCAGCCATCTTTTCAGACCATGATGCACTGAGGATAGAAGTGAATCACACAAAGACACGGAGAACCAAATCAAACACCTGGAAATTAAACAACTCGATGCTGAACAACGAGTGGGTCAGGAACGAAGTCAAGGATGAAATCAAAAGATACCTGGAAACAAATGAGAATGAAGACACAAACTACCAGAACTTATGGGATGCAGCGAAAGCTGTATTAAAGGGAAAATATATAGCTCTGCAAGCATATCTTAAGTCGATAGAAACGATGCACATAAACAATTTGACCTCACAGCTCAAGACCTTAGAAAAGGATCAACAGAAAGAGCCTAAATCGGGCAGAAGGAAAGAGATCATAAAACTTAGAGCAGAAATCAACGACATGGAAAACAAAGAAACAATCCGAAAGATCAATGAAACCAAGAGCTGGTTCTTCAAGAAAATAAATAAGATAGATAAACCACTAGCAACACTCACAAAGAAACAGAGAGAGAGAACCCTAATAAATCGAATCAGAAATAAGAATGGGGATATCACAACAGAAACTAAAGAAATTCAAGAGATCATCAGAGACTACTTTGAAAGTCTGTATACCACGAAACACGAGAACCTTGAAGAAATGGATAAATTCCTGGATTCCTACCATCTCCCAAAGCTGAATCAAGAAGATATAGAGTACCTGAATAGACCTATTCACATCAAGGAATTTGAAACTGTAACCAAAGGTCTTCCCAAAAACAAAAGCCCAGGCCCAGACGGATTTACTAGCGAATTTTTCCAAACATTTAAAGAGGACCTATTGCCAGTTCTTCTCAAGCTTTTCCAGGAAATTGAAAAAAACAGGAACTCTCCCAAACAGCTTCTATGAAGCCCATATCTCTCTAATACCAAAAGGAAACAAAGACACCGCAAGAAAAGAAAACTACAGACCAATATCCCTGATGAACACGGATGCGAAGATTCTCAACAAAATACTAGCCAATAGAATACAATAACTCATCAAAAAGATCATACATCATGACCAAGTGGGATTCATCCCAGGGATGCAAGGATGGTTCAACATTCGGAAATCAATCAACATAATCCATCATATCAACAAAAGAAAAGATAAAAATCATATGATCATATCAATAGATGCAGAGAAAGCATTTGACAAGATCCAGCACCCATTCATGATGAAAACCCTTGCCAAAATGGGAATAGAGGGGACTTTCCTCAATATTGTTAAAGCCATCTACCACAAACCTACAGCAAACATCATCCTCAATGGGGAAAAACTGAGAGCCTTCCCCCTAAGGTCAGGGATTAGACAAGGATGCCCACTCTCTCCACTACTGTTCAATA